ATAAGGACCCCAAAATAAGGTACCCTAATTTTTGGAAACTCCCATTTGGTCGGCCGGACTGCTGTGGTGTCGTCTGGGCTGCTGTCAGGTATGGGCCTCTGGGCCCACAGCTGGAGCTCTGGGGTCTGGCCCCTAAACCCTAAACCCGAAACCCTAAACCCTAAACCCTAAACCATAAACCCTAAACCGTGGCCCAGAGAAATGCAGGGCAGCGCGTTTTCGCATCGACGGAGAACTGTCGGCAGCCCTTATAAAACAAAAAAGGACACCAAAAGGGACCCTAATTTAGAGAACTACCCACTCCCATCCGAAGCCTTTTGTGAGGAGAATCCGACTCCCAGGTGTATCGGCCCTAGTACCGAAGCTCTCAAGTTCCATGGGGCCTTAGTCGCCTTCTCCCTGCAGTCCCAGCGGCTGCTCTTCGTCCGCAAACTCTTCGATGTCGCCTCATCGGCTCATCGCAGCAAAGACGTGTTTACTTGGAGGTTCATGGGTAGTTATAAGTTATAGTTACCCTACTTAAAACCCTACTTATAACTTCCCATGAACCTCCAAGTAGGGTTTCGGGCACCCTCCACTCCATCTCGAGGATTGTAATACCCCACCTCCACGACAAGTCAAATCGAGGCAAAAACTATGCTTTACTAGGGCTCGAGTCGGCTCGAGGTACCCTGACATCCACAGCATGAGAACCACTCTGCAGCTCGGCGGCTCATGCTAACTTTCTCTGACCTCGACTGCAACACCAGGACTTTAGATTTGAGGCATTAGGGCCTAGGGCTCATGTGCATTTATCATGCGCTAATTGATCTAGTCACGTTCGTTTGTTGCTTACTTACTTAGCTGATCAGCTAGCTAGCGAGTTGGTTCGTAAGCTCTTTAACTCGTTAGTTCGTTGATTCGCTGGCGCGTTAGTTCGTTAGTTGGCTCCTTCGTCCGTTCGTTCGGATAGCTAGCCAGTTAACTAGTTAGCGAACTAGCTAGACAACTAGTTAGCTATTTAGCTAGATCGTTAGTTTTCTCGTTAGCCCGTCAGCTCTTTAGCTCGTTAGCTGGTTGGGTAGCTAGTTGTTAGCTAGTTTGATTGTCCGCCCTTTCGTTTGTTCGTCACTTCGTTCCTTCGTTCGTTCGTGAGTTCGTGAGAACGTAAGCGCGCAAGTAAGTAAGAAAGTAAGTAAGCCAATCAGTCATGAACTAGACTTTACTTTAAATAGGTAATTTGTTGATTTATTTAGTTCTTCAGTTAGCTTGCTAGTTAGTTCATTAGTTAAGCTAGCTAGCTCGTTTGTATGTATGTATGTATGTATGTATGTATGCATATATGTACATATGAATGTTTGTATGTTTGTCTGTGTGTGTAGGTCTGTCTGTCTGTACGTATGTATGTATGTGTATATGTACGTATGTATGTTCGTGTGTATGTTTGTATGTTTGTATTTATTTGTGTATGTATGTATGTATGTATGTATGTATGTATGTATGTATGTATGTATGTATGTATGTATGTAGTTGTCTAGGTATGTATCAGTTTAGACTTGATCTTGCATGTCTTTCCTGCACTCGTGGCGGTGGTGATACTGATATTGGTGGTACTGCTGCTGGTGATGGCACCTGTGCTACTGGTGATAATGATAGCCTTGGTGACATTAACTGCACTCTTGTTCGCAATGGAGGCATCGGCATCCCTACAAACACTGACCTGAACGGATACTACACACACAAGACTGCAAGCAGTTTTAGCGGACTGCCACTCAGCATCCCTCACGACAATGCCGACCATGCGGCAAGTACGCTTCCTTCGAGTATTCCTGCGCCGTCTCAGCTTCAAAGGTCGCAAACAGCCGCTTGACGACCATGTAGATTAGTATGTTATTTATGAGAGACCATACAGGAATATATACATATCCCACATTATGATTTATCAAGGTTCCGACAGCCTGCAGCTGACAGACTAACCAAGATCGAGGACCGTTGCGCCTCTCTTCAAAGTCTCCGGCCCAAGCCATCTCCCATCAAGGCAGTTTAGGGTTTAGGGAAGTTTAGGGTCCCTTCTATGCCCCACCCTTCCCTTTGAAATGTCCACCCCCCCGCCCCCCCGGCGTCCTCCCCTTCGGGCATCAGCGGCGGGTTCATCTCCCGGCCCAAAATCTGCGTAAACAAATCTCCTGCACAGGGCAGGGCGCGGGAGTCTCACTCTGAAGCTCCCCGTCTCTTGCTGTATAAGATATGATACATAATATCTACTGTATTTGATAATATCTACTGCATTTGATACTATACGATGTCTACTTTATAACCTTGAATCGAACACAGTCTTGTATATGTATATAAAAACTCTACTATATCTACTTTATAACATTCAAGATGTACTGTTTGAATTCAATATAAAGATACTATATGTGCAACATAATATGAGCTAAAGGGACAAGAAGACTGCGGCCCGACATATTACAAGGCCCAACTGAAGCCTCTGTCGCGAATATGGCTGCCTTTGCTTTTCCTGTTTTATGTTTTAGGGTTTACGGTTTAGGGGATTATAATAATATAATAAAAATTAATATAAAATATAATAATAACAATATAATAGTAATAGGGTTTAGGGTTCAGGGTTGTTTTCTTTTAGTACCACTGTTTGCTTTTCGACGTCATGCAGCACTCGGGAGCTGGTTTTGCACCCTTCACGCCTTTGCTGCCCGTCATCTTGAAGAACTTGTGCTCCTGCCAGCAGTACTTGAGGATACCATCGCTCTAAAGTCCCGATCTAACGGAGAAATTTTACCCCATTTTGCCCGACGGAAAGCCCTCGTCTAACGATCAAGGCCGCCAGTTCACAACCATATTGCCCGTTCCCAAAACCGCGAGGACCAGCACTCCAGAAAAAGACTTTTGAGGCTGGACTTTCGGGGCTGTCGGATCAACTCTGAGCAGCGGTTGGGTGCTCAGGGTCTCTCGTGAAGGGTCCAAAGTGTATGGGTCATGGGAATTATGGGTTCAGGGCTGGGGGTTTATGGGTTACGGGTCTCGAGTTTAGGATGCGTTTTGGGTGGGCTCAAGGTTTAGGATGTAGGGGCTTAGGGCTTGGGGTTTGTAGGTTACAGGTCTCGAGTTTAGGATGGGTTCTGGGTGGGCTTAAGGTTTAGGATAATGTATTTAGGAGGCTCCTTCACCTCCTGCCAGCCGTCGCGCGAGCCGATTCGCTCCGCCGGATCCTTGCAAAGGAGGCGCTCCATCCTCGGAAAGTCTCGCGGGCTTGAGAGCTTTGGGGAGGGGAAATCTGTGGGGGGTTGTGGATTTCGGGGTCGGGCTGAGGGCTCAAGTTAAGGTTAGTGTTGAGGGTAGAGGGTTCAAGGGGGCTTAGGCTTAGAACCACCCCCCCCCTTAGGACTGAAGAAGATATGGGAGCTTGTTCCTCTCTACATGTTTCTCAGGTTGTTGTGACCTTGACGCCTCGACACAGAGCGGGCGAGCGCGTCGGCGCAGTCTCCAAACTGTTGTCTTTTAGGGTTTAGGGTTTCTTCGGAACAAAGGGATCTCCGACCCGCTGGATACTTGCGGCAGTGGAGTGCGGGGCTTTTGCCGGCCTTCGACTATCGCTCTGGAACTCTGGGAGTCTACTGCCTCCACAGAAGCTCTATCCTCTTCACTCTCAAATATAACCCCCCAGGATCCCAGCCCTGAGCCCTGAACCCATAAAATCCCAAACACCTCGAACCTCCACCCCGATGCCTAAACCCTAAACTCTAAACCCCGAACCCTAAACGCAAACCCTAAACCCCAAACCCTAAACCCCTAAACCCTAAACCCCGAACCCTAAACTTAAACCCTAAACCCCAAACCCTAAACCCCTAAACCCTAAACCCCGAACCCTAAACTTAAACCCTAAACCCCCTAAACCCAAGAAAGCCCCATAGAACCCCAGGGCCAGGGAGCAGGTTCTTCCCAGCGTTGTCGTTGTACTTCGGCGGGAAAGCCAGAGTCTCCTGGCCGGTGAGTGTAGGTAGGTAGGGTAGGGTAGGTAGGGTAGGGTAGGGTAGGACACGAGCATTTTTGGGGCTTGGGCATTTTCGGCGGTTTCGGGTTTACAGGGTTTAGGGGCTGGGCTCTAGGGTTGTTTTAGGGTGAAACGGGTTTAGGGGTTAGCGGTTGGGCTTTTGGGTTGTTCAGGGTTGGTTGTGGTAGGGTTTACAAGGTTTAGGGTTTAGGGGCTTGGGCTTTGGGGTTGGTTAGGGTTTACAGGGTTTAGGGTTTTTAGGGGCTTGGGCTTCAGGGTTGTTTTAGGGTTTACAGGGCGATGTCTTGGTGGAAAGTGAGGTTTTGGGCTAGGGTTTGTTCAGGGTCCGTGGCTTTGGGAGTGGGGTTCGGGGGATATGGTGAGTGTTGCTGGGTTTATCGTTTTGGATTTGTGTTTAAGTTTCGGCTTTATGGCTAAGCATACTAAGAGTTAAACTCTGTCATGGCGATTCTGACTTCGATGGTGCTGTTGTACCCAATGCTGATAGTCATGCTGATCATGATATCAGTAGCGATTATGACTGCTGCAATGTTGCTGATTGAGGCGACGTCGCTGGATGAATGAAGATGGACGATGGATGGTGGATTCCGAGGACAGTGACATTGATGATGCTCATGATGCAGCATCGCCGGCAACACGCGTTCAGCTGCCGCTTGAAAAGTTTCCAACAGCCATGGTCATCACGACATGATATGAACATAGCATCAGTACCACCAGAAATCATGATCATTCCCATTCTCACCACCATCATATACACAATCGTCAGCATGGTAGTCATCAGCATTGGCATCAGCATGGTGGTCATGATGGCAATCATCATCAGCATCAGCAGCCGCGGCAGCATCGCCGTCATCACCATTGGTTGCATGCAGGATCCTGCTCGAGTATGCTACGAGTACTACGATTTGATGACACTGCAATGTCGGAAGACCCTTTCCGAGCTGGCTCGCGCTTTTTCGCTTTTTCGAGTGTTCCGGGCGTGCCCCACCTCCAAGACCGCTGCGATGATGTCATCCTCTTCCGCTGACCTGACCCATGCTGGTGCATTTCCTGTCTCGGGCTTTACACTTTCCGGCTACGACCTGATGGCGGTGCTTTTCTTTTTGGCTTCTGCTTTCCCCTTTTCCTACCACCTACTTCTTGCTACTTCTTGCTACGTGGTACTACTACTTGTTGCTGCTGCTGCTGCTGCTGCTGCTGCTGCTGCTGCTGCTGCTGCTGCTGCTGCTGCTGCTGCTGCTGCCGCTACTACTGCTACTACTACTACCACCACTACTACTACTACTACTACTACTACCACCACTACTACCACTACTACCACTACTACCACTACTACCACTACTACCATTACTACCACCACTACCAC